AAAAAGTACTCCAGAGTGTTGTTCAGCATGGGGGTGAGTAGAAAATGAAGGCTAATCATGTTTTGGGTGTACTATTCCTTTAATGGCGGGATGGTGACCTCTGGATGGCCTAGAAAATACTCTTTATTATCTCTTAAAAAAAGTATCACAGATCCGCATTATTGTAGTGCTAACCATTCAGTCTATTTGCAGAGTTAGTTGCAGAGTCATGTGGGTGAGGTGTCTAAGGAGTGTCTAATCAGTTTCTAAGGACGGCGCAGGATGGGGGTGCGCTAAAGGTCCAACACCTCTGCGGGAGCAATAAATTAGACTGTCAACAACCTAAGGTTTATCTGATTGTTTATCAACCACAAAGTGGAAACAGAGCTGCCATGGACCCACACACTTATTTTATTCATAGTTGTTGCTTACTCTGGTCTCTGCTAGCATAACTTTTAGGGTGCAGGGAGCATTGATATGGATTACAGCTCGATGAATGAACCTTTTTAGTGGTAGAATGTGATACTATGGTGCCACTGAGTTTTATTCCACAATTAAGTAAATTAGCATCCGTTTATAAAGCAGTACTTTGATGGCTGAGCCCAATAGATATCTTTGACAATCAAAGAGGGACATTTTATTCCCTTTGGTTTCACATGCTTGTACCTCTGCTGAAATAAAACCCTTGTTTCCCTCTCGCTTTACAACTTTTCCTAAAGTGGATCTAGACAACTTTTTTTTTTTTTTTTAGTTTTCCTTAGTTTGTACAAATATTTTTTCAAATAATGGTAATAATACATTGACTATACCACTGCCACTGCTGCAGTAAGGGGGCAGCCCACTTCCCTGCATCTCCCAGTGGAATACCCTTCATGAGCCCAAAATATTTTTTTGCTCTGACTCGACCCTTTTACCGAATTACAGGGTCTAACCAGGAGATGGCGCTTCTCTATAGATCTTAATGTCCATAAATCATGACAGAAAGAATATTTCAGTACAAAGATTGATGTTTGAAAAAGAATTGTAGTGGACCAGACAAGAACCAACCAAGGACCATCCAAAGACCAACCAAGGACCAGCGGAAGATCAGCCAAAGATCAGCCAAGGACCAGCCAAGAGCCAGCCAAGGATGTTCCAACCAACCAAGGGCCAGCCAAGGACCATCCAAGGACCAGCCAAAGACCAGCCAAGGACCAACCAAGGACCAGCCAAAGATCAGCCAAAGATCAGCCAAGGACCAGCCAAAGACCAGCCAAGGACCAACCAAGGACCAGCCAAAGATCAGCCAAAGATCAGCCAAGGACCAGCCAAGGACCAGCCAAAGACCAGCCAAGGACCAACCA